AGCAGAGTCCAGGGAAGTTGGGCATTCCACCCCGCACATTCAGAGAATCTCAAACAAAGAGTCCTGATCCAAATGCAAAGTGGCCTACCATTGATTTTCTACACCTTCCTCGAGTTAAGCGGCGCCTAGATATCAAAGCACCACCTGTAGAGTCGGACACATCTTCTAGCAGTGACAGTGAGGAGGAAACAACGAAACACATAAAGAAACACAAACAAGCAGATATATATAGTCCAAGGCAAGAAACTGATTTGCTTTACACAAAAACCCAATATGTTCATCATACTGCAGACATCAAATCAGTATCATCAGCTTCTGAGTCATCTTCAAGTAGTGACAGTGAAGATGAAAAAAGGGGCCAGGCAAAGAAGCAGAGTTTGGGCTCAACGGGGTTTCAACAATCTCAAACCAAACGTCATGATCCTATTTACACATCAAGCACCTCACATGAGGAGGGGATGGAAGATTTAAGAAACCGCCCAGTTGCAGTTAAACCAGATTCAAGATTGCCCGAAATGGGCCTCAGCACTATCCCCTATGTCAAAAAGCGTCTGGATATCAAGACACGTTCACCTAAGTCCTCCTCCAGCAGTGATGAGAGTGAAGGTCGGACTACAGACCAGCCTGTTAAAATGGCTACCAACTTAGGCTCTCCAACTTCTACATTGTTTAAGCTTCCTCACATTTCAAAGAAAGATTCCAATATTACATTAGAAAAGTATGTTGTTATAACAGATGAGTTAAGGGAAAATCGAAAAGACAACGTCAGCACAACACCAGAGATAAACTCTGAGCTCCAGTCACGATGGGCCACAATGAATCTTGGTGTCTCCCAATTTAGAAAGCGCCTTAAAATCACATCACCGAGTTCTCAACCATCCAAATTGCCCTCATCACCTCTGCCAGACTCCCCTTCTCTGAATCCTGAAAACAAACATGTGAAACCCTCTGATTCCTCTTCCAGCAGCAGCAGCAGTGAAGATGAGATAACAGAAAACAGAGCTCCTCCAGGCATGACATATGTTGACTTTCCAATCTATAAGCGTTCAATTATGAAAACTTCATCGCTATCTGATAGTTCTTTCTCCCCCAGTGGCAAGAGCCAAATGGTAAATGTTGCACAGGAAAGTGAAAAGGACAGAAATTCATCACTTGCTCCAAAGAGAGTATCCAGTCTGAGCTTTGAGGATGAAGTAAGGAGAAGGACTGAACAAAGACACAATGCAAATGCAGATATACCACCAGAGATAAAATGGACTGGTGTTGGTCATCATCTGTCTAAAATCTCTACACCAGCACTAAAGACAGGTCTGAATACAACACCTCCACAGCAGGCTTCACCTGCAAAACCAGAACTTCCCCAGCTGTACTCCTCCAGCATCAAAAGTGACTTTAAAATAAAGCAAGACAGTTGGAAATCAGATGTAAAGCCAACACATAAATTCTCACCCATTAGTGCCAATAGTACTTCTTCTGCATCCGGAGGTGCTCTTCACAGGCTTTACAACTCACCCAACACCACATATGAGAATCCAAGCCCTCTTTTGCTCTCTGATAGGAAGGAAAGAAAAGGCCTCAGTGCCCTAAAAGTCATGTCATCAGAGAGAAAAATGTGGGACACGGTGGATTTCAGTGGGGATGGATCTCCTACAGTTGATGACCACAGTCCACAAGTTGACACCGGTGTTTATTATCGCAAGTCTGAGCCGGACATCAAACCCCTGCCACGATTACATCTCCCCTCTGCTTCACCAGATGAGAGAAGAGCTACAGATTTGTTGTATGATCTTCCCCGCTACAGGAGCCATGACATCAAACCACCACAAGTTGCCCCACCTCCTATTCCTGTAACACTACCGCCAGAGGAGGCCGTTGGGCTTACATGGAGATCTCCACAGGACAATAAGAAACACGGCTCGGAAGGAAATAGAACCTATCAGCAACAGAGACAAAACACAGAGGAACCTGTTGCTTCTTCGCTTACACCAGAATACCCACCAATCTATTTAAACACTTCAAACATCAGTCATGTTTAATGACAAGTCAATTCATGCTAAACACTTAAAAAGCCACCCAGATGATAGGCATGATTCTCTGAGCTTAAGTTATCCTGTGAATGTCAAAAATATTGTGAATTGTATATTATGTGTGACTTTGGAATGAAATGTAAGCTATAATCATTCATTGGCTAGGGCTGCCACAGAGCACTTAAATGCAGTCTTTATCGATGCACCATGCTTATCTTTCACGTTTGACTTATTTCTGCAAAATAAGATGCCAAATGAGTTATTTACTTGCATTCATGAACAGAATTTCTGACTTCTGAAGGAAGTCCAGTGTGATGGCTCAAATTTGTGTATAAAAACCTAAATTCAGTGATGTTAAAGACTAAATCATGAAATAATTTAGATTATTTTTGTATCTCTAATTGAACATTTTAGCAAATAATAATAATAATAATAAAAATATAAATTTGCACATATACATTTTTATTTGTATATTTGCTACATCCCAGATTGTTTTGCAATTTATTTAGCTATTTCAGGTACAAAAACTGATGATGTAGAGGTCTCAAAATCCTATGTATTAAATGTGATACACTTGACATTACAAGGTTAAACAAGGGCGAACTATCAACTAAATAACCAGAACATAAGCCATAAATAAGTTAATAAACCATTTTATTTACTTGTATAGACACAGGTTATAGTGAAAACAGACATATAGACACATAGTTTACATACATATATACAGTTGGGACAAGGCTGTTCATCCTCCTGCATTATCAAGGGAGAAGACTAAACCACTGATCTCTACACAGTATTTGGTAAGCAATCCTACAACTACTTTAGTCTTAAGGTTTATGCTGATGGTTGATGCATTGTAGTGACGACAAAGGTTTCTGTGTAGTTTTCAACTGAAATGGATTTATGGAAGCGTTTATGTATGTCATGACAATGTAGTGCAACAGTAGCAAAACAGGCTACTGTCTGCATTGCCTGCAGTTTGCCAAAGTTTTGCAGCATATGTAAGGATGTGTAACAAAGGGTAAATGCAGGAGGGAACTCCTGTTCCACCATGAGGTTACAGGTGTGTTCCAGGTCTTAATAAACACAATCATGTTTATCATCAGAATTTAAAGAACATGATTGTGTTTATGAAATTAAGCACAAAACACTTGCACAAAAACCTGTACAAAACAAAAACAAAAAGTTTGAAAAATGTTTTCAAAAAATCTCATCCATTCACAAAAGGCTCTGTCGGAGCATGCATGCAAATATTAAATCTTCTGACAATTCAGCATCACATCACAGCCAAAGACAAAAATTTATACATGTGTTACAAGAACATTATACTAGGCGAAAAGAACAGCATAGCATCATCACAAAGTTCCAAACTGTCAGTGTCCACTGTTTTGAGTACATCCTATGGGTGGTACAAAGCAACACTTTCACCAAACGTACCTTACTACTCAAGCCTAAAGGACCTCATCCTGAGAGGGTCACCGGTCTTCCACTGCAGTTACATTAACACCGTCAGTGTTGGGAGAGATGCTACTGGTAAGAGGAGACCTGAAACTATCAGTGGACTAAGGAAGACAAACAGATGCCACATATCAAGACAAAATGGACACCAACTAGCTCTATGTCAACTTATAACACAGCCAAAACAGTCTGAGTTCATCCTGAAATAATCCCTGACCACTCAGTGTGTCTGTGTGCATGTACTCTTATCACACGTGTATGTACATTTGGATTTATTGGTATGTGTGTGGGACACACAAAGTGACTTCCATGTTTTGAGGCACAGTAATACTCTCATCTACAGAACGTAGATACATAAATCAGTCATCAGACCAATAAATGCTGATCAGAGCACTAGTGGCTCACCGCTGTACTGTAATAAGAGTTGGTAAGCAGCAATGCTAAACTGTTTGGTGTTATGAGGTCTGAAGCCTTTGCAGGGGGCTAGCAAATGAATAGCTAGAAGCAAAAAAAAAAAAAAGCTGAAGCAATCAAAACTGGAGGGGAAAGAAGAAAACAAACAAAAAACAACTACAAACTGGCACAAATCAATAGAATAGAAACTTGCAATCAACCATTTGACACAGTGTGCTTCTTGAAGTACTCCTATGAAACGCAAAATATGACAAAAAAAATTTAAGTGCTATCTGTCCAGAAAAGCTCAAGTTCAAGTTCATTGCACAGATGTATAATACTTTAATGTGCCCAGGTCAAAGTGACCCTATTTAAGACTCAGACACAATGCATGAATGGTCACTTCTCTCAGTTTCTCTGTGCTGAAGACAAGGGGTGAGGAGTGGTTCTCCCACACAATACCATTTTGCTTCCATCATCCATGTATGACACCACGTTATCCTAACACAGACAGCAATATGACATGTCACAGTGAGAGAGCAATGCCACTAGGGATTGCTGCAAGCTTGCCCACTACGCAACTTCGGGAGGGAGCACAGCAGCCCTCCTGCCTCCACGCTCTGAGCAGCGTGCATGCAGGCTGCAAACCCAGCAACCCCACCCTAGCCCACCCACAGCCCAAACCCCTCCTTTCCCCAGGAAGCACCCACAGTCACTCCTTTACTTTTTTTTGTATTGGTTACTTATTGGTTATTGATTCTCAGAGTCGTTGTTGTCACAGTTGTATTACTTTCCCATTTTTGCGCTGCAGTTATGACATCTGTCTTTCTTTGTACCATTCCACAAACTCGTCCAACAAAACAGGCCCTAATGAAAAAAAACAAACAAAAACAAAGATGAGGCACAAATTTCAGTATATTACAAAATTAGTATTTGGGTAACACTCAGCTACACGTAAATGTGTGCTCACTTACAGGCACCATCTTCATCATAGTTGCTGAGGTCCAGGTTGATTGTCCTGCTGAACTCTAAAACATTGCACCATTGGTCTTTGTTGATGACTTTGTACTTTGATTGCTGAGGAATAACAAATAAATCCTTTAGTTTTTTAGCTACAACAGCTCTTTCTAAGGCTAAAATGGGCAACAAATGATGGTATATACAACTACTCCACGAGACTTCTGTGACTGATTTTCTTAAAAAACAAAAAACAAAACAAACAAACAAAAACCCCAACCAACCAAACTGCTTACCTCTAGAAACTGATTAAACACAGGAAACAAAGGCCACGTCTTTCCCAGAAGAAGCCCCAACATACATTTGGCTGTGTTCAAGTCCAAACTCCTCTGATCCTTTTCCTGTACAATCAGAACACCCAAGACTTTCTCAAATCAATGCAACAAGTCCAAACAGACAGTCAAGTCAGACAGCCAGATTAAAATGTTTACGGTTTCTTACTGAGATTTTTGTATTTGTTCAAATGAATTTAACCTGGTTGTTGAATGCTGTGTGTTGACTGCTCCACTCACCCGAGCAAAATCAAAGGCATATCTATAAATGAGCTTAAAGCTGGTGCTGTCATTTAGGACAGATCTCAGGTAGTCAAGTGAGTTCCTCAGCCTCTCAGTCGAATCACACCTGACGGCAGCAGAAAACTAGCTTAGGCATGTTACAGGATCCAATTTAATGCAAGTTACACTAAGAAAACACATCAATCTAAATAGGCAATCTTGAAAACTGTATTATAGTTAAAAAAAAATGAAGAAAGAAAAAGCACTAAAGTAAGTAAATGACATACTGCAATGAGCCCATGCCTCTCAGCCACTCCTGAAGGGTGAAATATCCCATACTCTGGGCATCCAGCTTCCAAGCAAGAACCAGCATCACCACCTGAGCACAAGCAACAAATGACAGTTGCAGATATTCTTAAATACAAGATACTCAATCCATTACATATCACATGACCTTAAAGGTCTAGGACTGCTGATTGAGAATGCAGATTAAAAGAGACTTTCATAAAGTATCAGAAATGATCAGAAATGCAAATTGTCACCACTGCCAAAAGAATGTCATTAAAGAAAATGCCAGAGAGAAAAACAGATGTCAAAATATAAAAGATTTTAAATATGCGCTTACATTCTCCGGCTCCACCCCGATGTCCTCACAGAATTTTTCCATGCCCTCTGGACCCACCACATCATCACAGCCTGATTATGATAAACAAATGTCAATAGCAGCAATTTCCCATGTATGCACTGAGAAGAGGTCAAATTGAATGAAACTAAGAGTGTGTCCAGTAAGTGCTCACCTGCATATTCATAGAACCACTCCAAGCATCTTTTACTAGAAAACATCTCCTCCTCTCGGATTTGGGATGTTTCATGTTTTCTGAAAACGCTGTGAAAGAAAAAGAAAATTTCAACCACACTACACGTGCAGTACACCATTTATTATATGTTTACTAATGGCAAAATAAACTGTGTACTGCACATATTCGAGTTCACTGAATGTTTAATTAAAGGGATCTCGCACCTGTCCTGGCGACTTTTCTTGGCTGACATGTCATCTCCAGCAGAGGGTCTCCTCTTTTTCCTAGGAGGCATGGCTTTAGAGCAACAAGCTAGGGAAGTAAACAGGAGAAAATGAAAGCATAAATCTTTAAGAACGACATGCATTATGCCAACTTTCTATAGCAAAACATTTGAGTACTAGCCAAGCACTGAGAGTCCACTTCAGAAAGTAATATTTTAATGTACATCTGGCCTGATAAAAACACTAAACTGATTAAAAAAACATAAAAAAAAAGAGCAGCTGTATAGTTACCTGAGGGGTGGCTGTCCTGTCCAACGTCTTCTGCCAAGTTCTATTCAAAACAAATATGCGTGAGTAGGACACAGATGTACAGGGCACATACATGCTAAAATAAAGCACACATAAACATATTGCTAATATGCATTTACCAGCCTGTGCAAGGTGTGGTGGATCTTATGGATGCTGGCCAGTGTAGTCAAGTGGGAATTCAGCTGAAAATCTATTTTCAAAAAATAAATACAACGTCAGAAAAGAACTAAACTAAACCGTGACACTCAGCTTTATGCTTCTGATCATGCTTGGCATGAGCACAAGGGTACAAGAAGGTGACATCATCACAGCCCCAGTAAGAACACTGGACTCAAATCTCAGGTGATCTTTGATTAGGAATCACACAACATTCACAGAGCACGCACTACTGTCGCTTGATTTCCAGTTTTCAAAGATCTACGTTGCTGAAAATATCTCACACGAATGAGGGAGGGACTCTCTGCATTCCTCTAAAGACGTGAGAACGATCATGCATGCTACCTTCTCGCTTCAAGCCTTCTGTGCACTGTCGATTAAAAGCTGTCACCAAACACCGATGATTTTAACATTTTTTCAGAGGCCAAAACCACACTCAAACCAGTACACTGCCGAGCAGATAGCACTAGCTGCATACCTAAAATAGCAGTGCAGACGCGCAACTTGCACAGAGTTTACAAAGTATCTGGAGAGTTTGGACGTATGGGCGTTGTAGTCCATTTCCTCTAAACAGGCCATTGGAAGCTAAGCTCTGTTTGGGATACTAAACTACAATTCCCATGCATTTGCAAAACAACTACTTCTCTCAGACCCTTCTACCCCCAACATTTACACCAACTGATTGAATGCATTTTACGTTGTTTGAAAAATATACAACATTACATGTGTTCTGGCACAAAACCAACGCACAGGCGTTTGCAGCAGCTGGTGTAGATGGCGCAAAACCCGGCGGCAGTGCTGCAGCAGGCAATGAAAGCTGTTTTACACAACTGCGTCACAATTTTCATTCCCTGTAAGAGTCCGCAGTTGACCAGAATATTGACCGATTTGCAATGGTCCTGCGTGGATGCCAAATGTGAGCTGATACCTGCTGTACGTGACCCATAAAGATGAATATAAACAGCTCAACACGCCGTTTAACCATCGAAAACCTTCTGAATTTAACTAACGTCAGCCGCATTCAGCCGAGCACCGCTAACGCGACTCGAAAAATTAACTTCGCAAAACCTTCAGTGTCAAATATAACCTTCCACATGTCCAAACAGCTAAAATTACACCAGCTATCCTCCCTTTGTTGTCGCACAAGACAGCACTAGCAAATACAAAGAGAGCAGCAAATAGCACAGAATTCACGCGTCCTCATCAAACGCCACACGACCATGAGACAAAACTGTTGTTCAAAACAGAGCAAGACTAATAACGTCTGTGCCACACGCGCTATGGGGTCCCAAATTGATCCAGAAAAACCTCTCTAACGTTACTACTTACTTGCCGCATCAGAGTGCATTTTTATGAAACATACAACTGTCTGTGGGAAGTCCGCAGACCGGCCAATAGGCGGGCCTTGTCAATGTAAGCCACGCCCGCAGCTGTGGATTGAAGGTCAGCCTCATTCGCCTCCGCCTTTGCTCGCTGTCAATTGGCTAGTCGAGGTGTCATGTCATGAGAGGGAGGGAAAAGACACCAGCTCCTCCCTCAACGAAATGTGATTGGTCATAGTTCTCAAAACAGGCCGTGCTATTCGCACGTCAATCACTAGAATTTCCTCGTGCAAAATTGAAACCAACCCACGATGAAATCTGATTGGTAGTTTTACTTCTAAATTGACTTCCCAGTGTAATCGCGGTTTGGGTTCGCTTAAAGTCAACGCCGTTTGTTGGAAGTAGGAGACGGTGTATTTGGTAATGTGAGTTATGTTTTGATTTTACCAAGGTAAGGATGACAGCACTTGCAGTGATGCTGCCCTAAATAGCACTCTTAATTGCCCCTTGGGGATAAATAAAGTCTTTCTGAACACTTACCTTCATTTACGTTACCCTGTCAAATTTAGTATGCCCTGTTTGTCATGTGACTCTAAATCTCAGTTTTTGTACAAGACGAACGAATGCAAACGTAGCAACATTGTTGGGCCCAAAGTTGTTTTTTTAATATATCAGTAACATTATGGTGTTACTCACATGACTCTGTTTAAATGATTAGCTAAGCAACTATACCCCGTGTGAGTATAGAGAAGCTCACCAGGTTATTTAAACCACAGCACCTTACTCAATACAGCCATGATTAAATTTGTATTACTTTGTACTGGTGGAAATGGGTAAAACGGCCTACTGAGTTGTCCACTGCACAGTCGTGTATATAGTTCCTTTGCCTTCCAGTTACACTCTTTATGCATTGACAGTCCTAGTCGGCACTAGTTTACAGCATATGGGCATTTAATAGTGGATTCAAGGTGGGTTACTTTGCATTTGATGTGTGTTTTCATTTTTATACTATTAAACTACATTTTAGAGGAGAATGTAGCCCCCCCTCTCCTTTTTTTTTTTAAACCTAATTAAATTTATTTGGCAGGTACACTTAGAAATTTGTAGGAAATACCTCACATATTAAATACGATGCCTTATGCCTTGGCCTGGATCAGTTTTAAATTAATTATTTTTAGTCATACGTTATTTAGAATAGTTTTATGTATTAGTTCTGTACTAGTGAACAGCTACTATTTTTTTCTAAATCAGAGCATTTTTGTAGAATTTGTGTAGTTGCAGTTGTTAGGATATAAAAAATTTAAGCTATTTAATTAATGCTCAGCAGTGACGTTAATAAATAAGTAGTAAAACAAATGTGTTTGCTTCATGGATAAGTGAGCCTTTGCTCCTTAAGCTGTGACCTGTTGAAAGGTAATTAAGTACAGATTATATATACCATTATTAGAGAAACTGTAGCACTGATATCTGCATTTTTATTAGTGGTAGTAAAGAAAACCTTGATCTTTGGCTTATAGGGATGTGTGTCCAGTGAAATAACCAATAATAGGTGATCTTGTTATGAAGTTTGACTGCGTATATTGAATCTTTAGCCTAAACACATGTAGATAATATGTTACCTTTACCCACACTTGTGGGTCTACTAAATAGTGATATGAAAGAGCAAACACGAGGCTGTAGGCAAAAAAAGGTGCGTCAAACACTGTCGTGTAAACTGGTATACAGAGGTGAACCTTACCTGTTTTTAACACCATAGGTGAGGACACGTCTTTTTATTTCATGTGACAAATGGGAACACATTTATTTTTAACACTGTTTTTAATGTTAAAGCAGTGAATTCCTTTTCTGCATAGTTTTATATGTTAAGAGTCAATGTTTTTTAGGGGTTCTCTTTGCCTCATGGCTTGTCATCCTCATGCTCAAACAAATCTGACTGGGCAGAGCTCTGTTAGGAAGGCGGAGTTAAAAGTCTAGTCCAGGAAGTTCTATTACAGCTTGTTGCATTTGACACAAGCAAGGGGAAGCTTCAAAAGCAGCACAGTAGAGCTCCAGCAACAAACTACTGAAGGGTCTAAGATCATGAGTGCTGAAATAAGTGGGCAAACAGTGCCGACCGGGGAACCGGCAGCTGCTGGTTCAGGTTCAGCTCCCATTAAAGGAGGGTGGAAAGTGAGTGGCAAACAAATTTGTACTAGACATTTTAAGCCCAGATGCAATGCTATATGTCACATATGATAACTAACCTCTATTCTGTTTCTTACAGTGCCCATTGAGTGATGCCCATGTTCACAGAGAAGATGTGAGAAAAGTTTGGAAAGAGTGCCAAGAGGAGAGCTTCTGGTACAGAGGTAGTCTCTTTCAGACATTCAGTAAATGCTCTCACGTGTGTCACAAATTTTCATTAACAATTTGTTGAAATGTCTCCCAGTGAGAGACAAGACTTGGAAAAGCAGGGTTTTTGTAGTAGAAGTAGGGGATAGGTCATCAATTAAGCTTACCATTGAGCGTTTACATTCTTCACTGCGGAATTCAGTGTGTGGTCTTAAAAAAGGGGGGCAGATCAGTAAGATGGTAAGTAACTCATAGTGAGATTTTATACTTTCGTCATTCTCTCAGTTGTGATTACAATGTGTTTATTTGATCATGATTATTTATATCGCTACTCAATTTGCATTGCTTTTAAAGAAATCATTTAAATACTATAACCACTCTGCCCTGCCTGATCAGAGCTTTTACTTAAGGTTAAGGTTGGGTGAAGCTTGGCTGGGAGTGTCCAGAGGTAAAAAAATAGGTTCTAGATAAAACTAAGGGGGAAAAAAAACACCCGATCTGGAAAAAGTAGTAGAAGAAAAAAACACACAAGAGGTTTAAAGATATATCCATCATTTATGCACACCCACACATCTTTTATACGACTGTCAGAAAATATATATCACAGCAAAAGCTTAAGATTGTATAAGCTACTGTGAGCAGCTTGCACTAAAGAAAATATTGTGGTCACACTTTTTTTAAATTAAGAATTCCCAAACTGAAGATTATTGGTGTTTCATGTGGCAACACATCGTTATCTTTAGTCTCCATCTTGGCCCGGCCTCTCACCACTGACCACACAGCTGCTGCTCATCTTCTCTCATCAAGCAGTTATGTAAACATGCAGTGGCAGCAATCACTTCTTCCTGTATCCGTCCTTTCCATCCCATTAGAAGGACATGAGGTTGAGTTTCGGTATATGTCTCATTACTCCAAAGTTCATTTAGGTTGAACTATAGGCAAACAAAGCAAAATTGACGTCTTCTAGCGGATTCATTTATATGGGAAATATCGCCATTTAATCACAGACAGAAAAACTTATCTTTATACATTATGTATTTGTTTTGAATGCTGGCTTTTTAAAATAACTTTACTCTGATTCTATTATAATATTTCCCCAAACGCTGTCCAGTAGTTTGTGGCTTTGATCAGCTTCACAGCAACTTCTGTTTGACTTGATTTCTGTTTTTAGCGCTTCCATTGTCTCTGGGCAGCATGGCTGTCACCGGTGGTCTCATCTACCAAGGTAAAGCATTAACATTCAAACCCCATACTTTAAATTGCATGATACTGATCAAAGTAAAGCAGGTGTTTCTATAGTTATCACTTTTTTCCCTCCACATAGGTATTTGGAAATCATCAAAGCGATTTGGTCCTTTTCCGAAACTAGCAGGTTTGTGTCTTTCAGTATCTTGGATCTCAGTTTGTAAGTGGCAGCAGTGATTAATGAAATAATTGTTCTTCTTTAGTTGCAGGGATCCTTGGATTTGCAGTGGGGAAAGCATCCTATGTGGGCACTTGTCAGAGCAAATTCCAAGAGCTTGGCATTCAGGGTGGACCGGGGATTGGACCCTGGTCAAAGAGAGATCACCCTGGTCACAGACACAGGGAGGGCAGGTGCTGAATTTCTGTTTGTGTAATATTATCATGTTGTGTGGTAATATTCGCAGATTCTGGGAAGAGGAGTGTTGATAATCGGAAAAAGACTAACTTTGTGGTTTTTCGTTGTATATTTGATTGTCCATTTGTTTTTATTTCATTTTACTTTATTTTTTTATATTCTCTGAGTAATTGCTCTTCTGTCTTGTTTATTTATTTATTTACCACCAGAGTTACACTGCAAGCATTCAAAAGTCATTCGGAATCAAATTACTTTATTAATCCCAGAGGAAATTGTGTCATTGTGCTGGTCCACCTTTAATAAATGACATAAAAACAATTATTTAAAAATGTTACAGATGCTTATTTTTTATCAGCCATTGTTATTATTTTCTTTCTCCTCTCTTTGGATGATCAATACCCTTACGCCTCAGCATGACACTTACCCAAACATTATCCTCACAGACCCTGCCACCATGTGTGTGAAGAATGTAAGAAAAATGCTCCAGCAGCACCAGCTGGACAGGCTTAAAGACTGTGAGGATGGATGTATGGTAACATTTAGTGTGCATCACTGTAAAAATAATGTATTCAGATTAGTGCAAATATAAACTATCAGAAAATATGAAAAACAATATATATTTTTTTAAAAGGACAACTTTGATATGTTACATAATTTGTGTCACTGTACATTGATGCATACCTATTTAAGTATTTCCTTTCATTTTTCATCCTCACCAGTGTTGGAGAGATTTTCTGCATGAATTCATCACCTTCTTATCAATGTCTTAAATAAAACTTGTAAACACGTCTCATTTTATCAAATAACCACCAGGGGGCGCTGCTATCCTTTCTATCAAAGAGCAAGAGCTTATAGAATTTCTAGTTTTTACAGGGAGGTGAATAAATGGGTAAAGCCAGGTCTTTGGACATAATTATCAACAACTAAACAGTTATTGAATGTTAAGAATGAGAACTGAAAATAAATAAATAACAGCCCTATGACAATGGAGAAAAAAAAAAAGGTTTTGCCAAACCTGAATCATCAGGCATGAGTACAGTAACGACCACATCCATAACAGCAGCAGTAGTCCTACCTTAGGTTGCTCAGTGAATATGCAATGCTTGGCTACCTTCAAAAACAACTGTAAGGTGTAAGGGGTTAATCTGTACATGACAAATTACAGAATTTAATGTAAGGTGGAACAGGGAACATATCTTTGAGTTTTTAATATTTGGTACTTACCAGTCCAATAATAATAATAATAATAATAATAATGGCTTCTCTTTGTTTTCTTTTCCACATTTTGAGCATTAAGAAATCTGGTCTTAATTTTGACAGTTTATAGCACAGAAGGTGCACTTTGGAGCTGAACAGACAGCCATAACATTTTAAAACCTGTGCTTTCGTGTGTCTATAAGTGAAAGCAGTAACAAAGTTGTATAACTGAAAAAAACACGATGTGGCTTTCTTACCCTATTGTGAATGAGAATTGGTCACTACTTGTAGTAATGTTAAGCTAAGTGTGATTTTACTTCAGATATGTGTAGAGGCATTTACAAATATAACGTCTGATTTAAAAAGTTACCCAGACTGCTCACATCAGTGCAGGCCTCCACTAATCAGGTCTTGGTAAAATGGCCAGATGGAAGACATTCCTCAGTAATGAGCATGTGACAGTGAGCTGGGAGTTTGCCAAAAGGTACCTTAAGGACTCTCAGACCTTGAGCTTGAGAAGCAATATCATGTGGTGTGCAGACAAACAAATGAAGAAATATGAGGCACTCAGCATCACCCCCTTACAGTTAGTACAGTCAAACATGTGATGGTAGCATCAGCAATGTTTTACTGCAACAGGAATGGGAGAAACTGGAAGAATGATGGAAGCAAAAATTAAGCAATCCTGAGTGAAAACCCTTTTCAGAGTGCTTAAAGGCAGTTGTGAATGTTCATATTTCAACAAATCATACTGCCAAGACAACACCAGAGTGTATTTGAAAAAAATTATATGAAAGTCTTGGAGGATCCTGAGTCTGAACCTGAATCTGTTTTGGAAAGTTAGCAGCACTGCTCAGCTAACCTACAATTAAGGCAATAAATCATCATATTTGGAATGAAATGATGATTTTTTTTTTTTTAGGAAGTAAATACTCCTGACAAAACGTGTTTTATATTTAATTTTGCCAAAATTATATTTTTATAAGTGTCAAATAATACAAGGACTTCATGACTATTTTGATGAAGACAGCTGGTCATTTTTGAAATATGAAGTTTAATCAGTTTTATGAGTTCAGTTAGTGTTTATGAAAGGAGCTCATAACTGCTGGCCTTTGGTTTTTCCACTTTCTTCATATAGTGATGCAAACAAAATCATTCCCAATTTTTGCAGTACCACAGTTAGTCTTATATTAAGTACTTTATATTGGTTTAATTGGTTTATTTACAGAGATAGAGTAGTCCCATCCGCGTTATATTTATATATTTTTATGAGTAATAAATGTTACCAGAACAGCTTTATCGGTAACTGATAATCCAGTCAAAGTTGACCAAAGTGCTCCATAAGAGGCACGACACATACTTCAGGCATGCCCACACGCCTCAACAAATATATCCAAATGATAATTTAAAAAAAAAAGAGACAATACAGCTGATTCCACATTTTAACATAATAATATATAATGTTTGTTTAGTCCGCAGAATGAAATAATACTTAACCCCTGTATCCGTTTGGAAGCTTTCTAACTGATATTTGTGTGATTACTCGATACTGCCGTCAGCAATGCTCAAATACCTGACATACTGCGTCTCTTCCGACTACCCGCCTATACGCGCAAGGCCGGTGTACTCTCGTAAGATTGAAAAAGAAAGGGGGAAAAAAAGGTAGATTCGTGTGAACCTCCCGCAGAAGACGTCATCCAATCAACAGGTCGTTCTATCAAGATTGGCACTTTCCTTGTCCGGTAGAACGCAGAGTTCTGTGTAGGCGTACACCATTACAGCCAATCAGAACAAAGAAGGCGGGGCAAACAAGCTGCCGTCTGTTCTGGCAGTGGGGCTCTTCCAACACCGAAACCGACTGAGAAAAAAAAATCACACCACTACGCAAATCCTTCCAATGGAGAAGGGCCAGGATGTTGAAGCTTGTTCGGCGAATGAAAAGATCGTCTGCAAGCTAGCCACCTAGCTCAACTAAGAGGAGAAGAAACAAAAGTTGTGAGTAACGTCGGCTTAACGTATAGTGAGGTGAATGAGGGCACGGGAGGTTGCTATCAAATGTAGTTAACGTTGGCTTATGCCAAGTTCCGCGATTAACTTTGCCGTTGAGGTTAGCTCTCCAACTGTGGTACCAAAATCGGCTGCCGTAGCATGCTAAAAGAGGGAGTTTGGCTGCTGTGCTGGGGCGAGTTAATCGCCTGTCTACCTTGCAAGTTTAGCATCGATCAGATTCCTGTTGTCATTACTTTTATCGCTGCCAGCTCGTTAGCTTACATGTTGAACGTTAACTTGTAGTTGACAACTGGCTGCTGCTGTTGCTAGCTAGCCTTTTGCTTAGCAGTACCCTTAGTGGAGTATTAACAGCAGGCTAGTTGCTAACTAAAGGCTACATTGAAGCTTATTCTCCTGTATGTTAGCCACATCAGGCTTTTTTATGTACATCTTTAGCATCATCTTTAGCATTGCTTTTCACGTTCATGTCGTGGGAAATAAATTGCTGTGAAACTTGTTTGGTATACTTACTTGGTTAAAGTAAACACGAGCACAGAGTTAACCAACAGTGTTTAATGCGCTATTTTCTTTTTAAATCTGGCACATTATTCAGCAAAATAAAGATGCATTATTTTATTACGTTATGACTATTAGTGGCTTAAAGGAAATAATCATATTAAAGCATGGTGCTTCTTGTGCATGGGCATAACAATGAGAGAACTTCGAGATTTGCATCTATCATCCCTGCGAGGACTTCATTCCCCTGTTCAGAGTGCATCAAGACCCACAATGAAGCATTTGTTCCTTTTCTGTTGAGACCCAAGCAGTGACACTTGGATACAGGCAGAAAGGAATCTGGTCAGTCTGCTGTCTGGCTGGAGGTGGAGATAGCCAAACTATATAAGAAGAAGAAGAAAAGCCAGTTTGTGTTCGCTCCTTTGCTCAAATAAATTAGGACAGTGGTCTGAAGAACAGGAACATTGTTATGCATATTTGCACAGATTGCAAAACATGCAGCATATATAGAATGTATGCTAAAAATCCATGCCAAATCCATGTTCAAAATTTCCCCATTCTGTTATGTTTTACACATAGTCTGCACATATGCTGCACAATAACAAGAGCAAATATAAACATATAAACAACTGAAACGTCGAGTTGATGACACATTGTTTGTTGTGATAGTTGAACCCTGGTGCATCATACTTCTATCACTGATCCTTGATCTTCCCACAATAAGATTTGTTGTAATTTTTGGATACTAAGGTGTTTCTGCAGCATTAAAAGACTTGCTCAGATATGGGAGGGAAACGGAAGTTTGTTGGGTCCAAACTATCTCATTAGTAGTGACTGAACTTTCACATTGGGAAAGACATTGGGAATTGTTCATGGTGCCATTCGGGGGGGTAATTTGTCTATAAAAAATACTTGGGCAGCTGTCAGTATACTTTGTGGCCCATTTGAGAAACATGGTTGAAAATACAGCCCTATGGTAACTATGAAGGACAACCATCAGTACACTGAGAGTTTGCCAAAAGACACCTTAAGGTCTCTCAGACAGAAAAAAGCAAAACATAGATTGAACTATTTGGACACAAACCCCAAAGGCATGTATGGAGGGAACTTGGCAGTCAGAATCACCACATTACTTTCTACACACTTGAATACGGTGGTGGCCACATCATGTTGTGGTGAATTCTGTGACAGCAATGGTAGACCCATCAGGACTGAAGGAAAGATGAATACAGAAAAATTAAGAGATCCTGAGTAAAAACCTTTTTCCAGAGTGCTGAAAGGCTGGACTAAAGGTTTATATACCAACAAAGTGTATTACCAAAAAAGTACAGGAATAGCTTTGGGAGAAGTATATGAAAGTACTGGAGTGGCAGTAGTAGTAGCAACTGACCACTACTGGATGGTCTTTTGTCTTGTTTACACTAAAAGCAGTTGAGTAAGAGTGAATAATGTCTATTTACTCTTATTTAAACATTCAGTTGACTGTGAAACATTAAAAAAAAGATCAGATTTTGACTGTTCTAAAGACTTTCCCGATGCAATGCATCGCATTGCTGGTTTTACACATGCACTGCTAGCCAAGTAATCTTTTCTAGACATCGCCTGATAAAAAAATAAATGTCCAGTCTAGCTAGATTGGACTTTATCTTGGCTTTAAATTGCCATCTTCCTGTTGCAAAGTGTGTGAGATGTCAGGTTGCGCTAGTCTGCTTGTTAAGTGATGTCATTTCAAGTGAGGTCATTGCTTGAGAGAAGCACCACCAAAACATTTTATTCTCTACCTATGCGAGTTTTTCTAAGCACTAAATTAGAATATGTTGGCTCCATAGTGTAGTGATTTGCCTCACAAGCGAATGATCCCTGATTCACAGCTAAGGGGAAAGCACAAATCCCTTTGGGGGGGGAGGGGTGGAGGAAGGGGGGTAGCATCAAGAAGAGCATCAGCTGTAAAAATCTGTCAAATCACATTTAGCAAACCAACCTGCTTTGATGACCCCCTGGGAATAAGGGACCATCCAAAAGTTTCTTTACATAAGTCAGATTATGGTCTTTCAGCAATCAATGTCAACTACTTGGATAATTTGCTACTAACTTCTGATTCCACTAAA